ACAGCTAAGAAACGAGGGCTTCAGGGCTTGCCCGGCTAGAATTCAATGTCAAGTGCATCGCCGTCTTCTTAGCTGACCATCCCTTCTCCTTTCTGCTGCTTCATGAACCCTTGGGCGCCCTGTCGTGTTTGCGCACCAAAAGGAAGGTCACTTTTGTAAATGAAAGTTTTCGAACTCACCCGAGACCAGGTGGAAATCCCAAACGTTTTTTCACAGCCTCCATCCAGCCCAGAAGTCTTCTCGCCAGCTGTCTGTGGCGTGAGCGTGTCGTCATGTTTGCAGACTTCTGCTTTTTTATGACTTCTCCTGGGGCTCGAGGTTAACAGATTCCAACCCCACAGGAACTCTGGTGGGTCGAAGACGCAGAAAGAGCTCAGTTTTAGGAACTGCTCCCTCCTCCTCCTCGTGTCTGGGGAATTCAGTGGCACACACGGCCGCTCTCTTCTCGATGGCTTTCCTCTGATGGAAAGGTGCCCCCAAAAGAAGCACATTTGCACGTGTTCTTTCTTGGTGGCCATCGTCCCATGCTCACGGTCCACGAAGCTTACGAAACCTGTGAGTTAGGGCAATCACAGGCACGTTCAGCACACGCACACGCACACGCACCCGCACACGCACACGCACACACACTGAGCCATAAAGCCCCAGAGTGCTGGCCCCGTCTGCCACGTCCACGTGTTTAACCCGCCCAGGGCCTGACACAGCGGCCTGCACGAAGCAGCGGTCAAGCAAACGCCGAGTGTACGAACGCGAGTTGAGCCAGGCGGCCCTAGAGCTGGGGGCAGTAACACAGACCCTAGCGGGGGGCGAAGAGGGTGTCTTGGCACCCTGGTGTGCGGGGTTAGTAGGATTTAGATGGAAGAGATTTTAGAAGGACCGTGAATTCCAGGGGGGAGAAAGTGGAACGGGGTGCAGAGGCAGGAGGGGTTTTCTCCCCAGCTTCGTCGTGACGGCAGGACGGAGTGGAAGGACGGAAAGCAGCCTGGCCTGCATGTCCTTGCTTCCTTGAGTGACCTCGTGATGCCCGTCATTCCAAGCGGGGGCAGCTCGCGGGAATAAGCTTCCGCAAAAGCGCTCTTAGCTCCGGGCCCAGCAGCCCCGTGTTTCCCACAGTGTCTTCCCATCACCATAGCAACCGCATCCCAGGTGGAGCATCCTCAGCCCCAGAGCGCCCCCATAGCCCTTGGGCACATGAGCCGGTCAGTAGCTGCCGGCGAGGCCACGCCCTTCGGCCCCCTGCCCCGCAGCCTCCCTGCGAATTTCAGCTTTTTGAGCCCCACAGTTCATTTGTGAGCAGGCAGTTTCTGCACTTTAATGGGTAAAATCCCCTTGGCCTTGAATCCTCTGCTCTGGGAGCATGCCCATGCTCTGATTTCCTCTGCTTAGGAGAAACTAGTACCCACAGGCCGTCTGCTAACGGGGATGCAGAGGGTGGGCGGAGGTCTGGAGGAGGCCGTGGGACGGGAGGTTGGACGTGGGTGTGACAGATCGTGGAGGTGTGCGGGGGCCGAAGAGTTTCGAGCAGACTTGGATGATTTCAGGACGATCGATCTGGTTAGAGGTATGAATGTTTGGGTTCGGTTAGGTCTCAGCAGCTCGACTCCCTTCAGTGCACAGACATTTACGTAGCGCCTGCTGCATGCTACGCGTGCCACGGAGTTTCGGAGGCAGTCAGACAAGACCCTGCCACGCAGCCTGCTATGGCAGAGGAGACGCCCTTCAGACTGAGTTAGCACACCCCGAAATCAGCAGACAGGGCCACATAGGGGAGTTGAGCCGGACAGAGCCCGAGAAGGTACCCACCTCCAGCGGGACTGGCCCAAGCCCCCCATGGAGTCAGTTAGGAAGACACAGGGCTGGGGTCTCCTGAGGCCGCAGCTTGCTCCTCACACAGTGCCAGGCTGCAGCTCTGGACTCAGGGGACCTGGAAAAGGTGTTGCAGAGAGGTCGCCATCGTCAGGACAGCAGCGTCTAAGCTGACCCCCGAGGACGTCTAGTGCATTTGTACCGTAATTGGCTCAGATCACGATTAGCATAATTCTTTCCTATTGTTTTCTTGATCTGTGATGGTCCCACACAGTTTGATTTACAGGACTTTCAAAAGACACCTAAGATGTGTGGTTTCAAATCAAAACGAAAACCAGCCTCCTTTCCATCTTGCATTTGGCTGCCATTTCGGTTCAGATAATGAATGACCAGAATAGCCACACAAGGCGAGTGGAGAGTCAGGCTGCAGACTGGACATCTCGACTTTGTGTGCGGCCGTCTGGCTCTGGGAACCCAGGAAGGGGAGGCAGCCGGGCCCTAGGAGGGCCTGCGACTTGGCTTTGCAAAGACCAGAGCAGCGCGGTGACATCCCTCTCTGCCCGCTCCTGGATTGGCCATCGTGCTTTCCCCGGGTTCCCATGGGAGGGAGACCAGACCACTGTCCTTCAAACGACCACAGAAAGCCAGAAAGAACCCTAGGTCCAGAAGTGACCTCAGCGTCGTCTGGTCCAAATGCTTATTTAACAGGTTAAAACCAGCAACAACGAGGTGAAGACTGATACAATTATGAATTATGGAAAGATCAGGAAGAAGCCCTGTGACCGGATTCGAACCGGGGGGATCGGAACGCATTCATGTGAAATACAGGGCCACGTTCCACCGAGGGGCCCAGGAGCCGTGACGCCCCAGGAGCAGCGAGCACACCTCACACCCAGCTCTTGGTCTGTAAATGCCATTTTCTGCTAAAGAGAATCAGGGCTGGTTTCAAGGCTGGAGCTCAGAAAGTTCCCGAGAAGACTAGAACATCATGTTTCACCAGGAAGTAAGGACATGCCCCAAACTGTCAGAAGAACACAGAAGCCCCTGCTGGGGACCCCTCTCACCCCCGGCCAAATGACATACTCCTTGAGCATCAAAAGAAATAGTGATAATAATGAATTATAATACTTTGAAAAAAATGGATCGGTGAGTCCACAGTAATACTGAAAAGGGGTTGGGGATGGGGGGTGCCCTTCTCTACAGAAGAATGCCAGGTAACAGACGCAGGAGGGACGGTCGTTTTGGAAACATCGCCACTTTGCAACCGCCAGTGTGCGAACTGATTCAGGCCACAGTCAGCAGTGATGCTGAAACCGCTGGGCGAAGTGATGCAGGTGCACCTGTCACAGCATGCCAGCCCCACACCGCTCGCTCACCGCAAGGGAGTAAAACGTACTCACCTGACGGAGACCACCGAGCCCGGCCGTCAGACTCCGCACCTCCATTGGCGGAACGACCCGGCTGCCCGTCCCCCTTAGTGGGGTTCAAAGGGACGGACTCAACAGTGCCGGAGAATTTCGCCCAAAGTGCGTAAGTCGAATCGGGACGTTAGCAAACAAAGCTGAGTAAATTCAGAATATGGGATAGTCCACGAGGCAGCGGGGGCGACTTGAGAACTTGCAATGCCAAAGTTCACAAAGACGTAAGAAGGCATGAGAGGACCCAGGAAAAGTGGAGTGACGTGGCAGAAAGGTGCCATGCGTGATTCTTGGCGGAACCCTGGACACGCGCTGAAGTATTCCGGGGTAAAGTGCCATGATGTCTGCAATTCATTTGCCAGTGATTCTGCAGATCGTGAAAAGCATGCGTGTTTGTGTGACTGAGTAGAGAAAGGAGAGACAGTAAATGTGGCAACGTAATAACAGCTAAAGTCTCTAGGTGAAGGGTCTTCACTGGGTCCCGGTTCGGCTTTTCTGCAGTTTTGAAAATTGTCAGAATAAAAACTTGTGAGGGAAAACACAGTAATGACCAAAAAACAGGCCCACGGCAATCTTGTCTATAAAAGAAAATAAACTAGACCCAAAATCCAGTATGCCGTCACCCGTCCCTCTTCACCCAGGCGGGTGGAGGGGCAGACGGGTGGGGACAGAGTCCCTTGTCACTGGGCTCAGAGATGAGAACTTTGCAGACGGAGCCTCCCAGCCTGCGGCTCGGCTTGAGATAAAGGCGGGACACAGCGCCACCTAGTGGCCAGACTGAGAACGGGCCGTTCTGGTTGCTTTGGAGAAACAGGCTGATAAATAATACACTGATTTCCTTGCCCCAAATTCTACGACGATCCAGAAGAAAGAGAGAAGCCCTGCTCGCGAGTATTTACCTGGTCTGTTTGACCACTGACTGCACAGGCCATTTATTCAGACCTTGCTGTCGCCAGAGAACCAGCCACGGTCACTCTGCTTCTGCAGACTTGAAGGCAGGCTTCGGGGTACAGACAGAGAAGGGTCAGAGGTGCCCTGGCGGGAGGGGGAAGGGGGTGCGGTTGGCTTTCTCAGGTCGGTCTAATTTGGAAGTGGGGCGTAGGCTGGGGATGCTGTCAGTTATCACATGTCCTGGCCATGTGGGGCCAGTTGTGGCCGGTTATCATTTCGCCTCCTAGATGGTGATGCACACAGCAGCCAGCCCCCCGCATGTCTGCTCTGGGCCGCTTATCGCGGAAAAAGGGGTCGGTGTCCTGGGCAGGCTGCTGCAGGTCGGGGGCCCGAGTTCCGGGGTTATACGCAGTCTGGCCACGGTCCCTTTGTGTCCTCAGTCTCGGGAAGCTGCCAGGGTGGGGCCCGCTGTGCCTCCAGGGCTCTGTGACCCACCCGGGGATGGGGGACGCTAAGCTGGCGTGCTCTAGAGGCTGCGGGGTGGGTGGCTGGAGCTGAGCGGGGCTGTCCCCAGGGTTATATGCAGTCTGGCCACAGTCCCTTTGTGTCCTCAGTCTCGGGAAGCTGCTAGGGTGGGGCCCGCTGTGCCTCCAGGGCTTTGTGACCCACCCGGGGAGGGGGGACGCTAAGCTGGCGTGCTCTAGAGGCTGCGGGGTGGTGGCTGGAGCTGAGCGGGACTGCCCACTCCACGCTGGCCCCGGGCCTGGCCCCAACGTCTGGGGACCCCACTGGCTGGCTCCTACCTGAATAAATCTTTGCTTCGCCCCAAGCCCGCACTGCCCCGCGCTCACCGCCCACGTGTTCCCCTCTCTCTCCGACACCCAGGCTCTCAGCGTGAAGTGGTCCCACCTCAGGCTGCCCTGGGTGGACCTCGACTGGCTCATCGATATCTCCTGCCAGATCACGGAGCTGGACCTCTCCGCCAACTGCCTGTCCTCCCTCCCGTCCGTCATCCCCTGGGGGCTCATCAACCTCCGGAAGCTGGACCTCTCGGACAACCACCTGGGGGAGCTGCCCAGCGTGCAGTCCTCCGATGAGATCATCTGCTCCAGGTGCGTCCCCGCCCCTCGCACGTCCCCGACCGTGGACGTGGCCCTCTGAGCCCCTGCACCTGCCCTGCTTGTAGCCTGCGGTTTTTAATACAAAGTCGTCAGCTAAAATGAGAGAAGGAGGCCCCTCCCTCAGAGCGAGGCGGAGGCAGAGAGGTCTAGGGGGTGCTTTGTCAGGCCCCCGTTGACGCTGCTCAGCGGTGGCCTTGCGGACCCGTGTGCTCGCCACCCCCAGCCTTGGTCCTGCGCACAGGAACCAGAGGGAACGGCTGGTGGGAGCAGAGGCTCGGGGCCACCAGCTCCCATCCCGCCCCCCAGGGATAGCGTGAGGGCCCCAGAGAGAGAGAGTGAGCGAGGTCCACGGGACGCGGCAGCAGGACGCAGGTCGTGGGTCGAGGCAGCTCCTGTTTTGGGGGGGATGGGGGTGCAGGACTTGGGAAGAGCCTCGAGGCTGCGTGGGAAAGGGAAGGACATCACCTCAGCGAGGGAGGTATTGGTGACACATACCTACAAGGCCTCACTCCCCGAAGGATCTGAGCTGATTTCGAAAGCTACGTCTCTAAGCCACGTCAGAGAGAAGAATGCCAGAAGGGGCCCGGGGTCGTCCGTGGCTCATGGCGAAGAAGCCTCTGCACGCGGGAATCTGACGGACGGTGTCGTCCGAGTGGGGGTCTCGGCCGGGTCGCGGTCGTCCAGCCGTGACGGCACCTGCCCGTCTTGCCGTCGCATCTGTGAGAGGCTTTGTCCCATCGGGCAGCGAGGCCAGGGCCCACCGAAGGGATGGGACCTTCTCGGCCTGCACAGGACGGAGGAACCGTTAGTGCGCCGAATAAACATCGCGTCGCTCCATTTTCAGGGCGTAGTTGACAGAAATACGTAACGGGTGCTTCGCCTCTTACCTCTGACGCCGCCTCCTTCTTCCCCGCCCGCAGGCTCCTCGAGATAGACGTTTCCAGCAACAAGCTGTCGCATCTGCCGCCGGGCTTCCTGCACCTCTCAAAACTGCAAAAACTGACGGCGTCAAAAAATTATTTAGAAAAACTGTTTGAAGAAGAAAGCAGTATGTTCCCCGCGACTTGACGTGTCCGTCTTCTTCCTGATGCGGGTCATTTCGTTTTTACCCATTTAGGCGTGTTTTTGTTTGTTTGTTTTTTTTCCTTAGCCACCGCTAACTGGATTGGCTTGCGGAAGCTGCAGGAGCTGGATCTATCTGACAATAAGCTGACGGAGCTCCCCGCAGTTTTCCTTCACTCCTTCAAGTCTCTCAGTTGTCTCAACGTCTCCAGGAATAACCTGAAGGTGTTCCCTGACGCCTGGGCCTGCCCTCTGGTGAGTACCATGCGGGAAATCACAGGGGTCTCTCTCGGGCACTGTCCCCCCTCCCTCCCCCTCGGGGACCACGCCGGGTGGCAGGATGGCAGTTCCCATCCTATAGCCTAACAGTATCACTCAGTATCCAGCAACTAAGTGTCTCAGGCAAGTAAGTCACCCGAACGCCAGCCCACCTGGCTCGGGGCTCGAGATTCACACTGTGACGCCCACAGAATTTTCCAGTTAGAGCTTGCGTGTCTGGCACAGGATGACTCCTGCCCGAAGGCGGGTGGGGGGAGGTGGTGGATTCCTTTAGGACAGCTGTGAAATAAGAAGAAAGGAGAAGAACCCGTCTTCACCCGTCACACTGCCAGTTAATGGTGGTTTTTGCTTCTTGGGGAGTTCGCTCGTTAAAGCCATGGAACAGGATAAAGAATATTTGTGTTTTATTGCTGTTGGTTGCCGACCAGGAAATTCTCCATCACCCGCGTTCGTATTTCCAGTTGAAACACATGTGTGTGTGGGAAACCGGCTCCTCTCTAGAGCCCAGGCCTGAATTGTCCCATTATGTCCAAGGACAATGGGCCAGATGTTCTGGAATGAAGGGCCTCTAGCCACCTTTGTCCCCCCCCCCCCACCCCCCGG